TCTAAAGTTAAAGGGCAGAGTCTCAGCAAACAGCCAATGGGCTAAAACCAAATGGATTTTAACAGCAAAATGAGGCCAGGGAAACTTGTTGCAATATACTGTTTTATGGAGTGAGATCTAGACTGGGTAGGCATGTTCCGTAGATGTGTATTTATGTGATAACCTGGATGAGAGCAGCTATTATTCTTGAGCTGAAGCGTCTGAAATTAGCCTCTTCAAGAATGTTCAGTTCTTCTCCTTTCTTTCCACTTTCTCCATGATCTCTGAGTTTGCTATATATAATAATGACTTTAAATTTTTAATGAATCTTTGGTGCTCACAGTGGGAACACACATCTCCCTGACGCATCATGCCACTTGTAGAAAGGAGTTGCGACTTACTTTCTTCCTGGCAAGTGAGTGAGATAGGAATTTCTTTGGAGTAAAGTGAGTGGGAACCAACAAGAACCCAAGCCACTGCTATCACATCTCTACATACAGCCCATTACAAAACTCTCAAAGTAATACAACTATTGTAGTAAGTCACCCATTTCTGGCCTTAATTCCAGGAACATCATGATGTGTCACCTATGTCATTCTCCCCTAGAGACTGAATTTCATTTTCTTAAACTTTATTTTTATTTTTTATTTTCACTTGCCTTCCTACTGTAAAAGAATTGATCAGCCTGTAATGTAACACAAGAATATATTTCTATGAAAATGACAATAATCTTACTTTGCTTTAACCAGACAAGGCTCTGGGCCTACGCTGCTTCTCAAGCATTGGTACATACATTTGTATCATAATTTTCTAGTTGACATTACAACACTTGCCTCCACAATATTTTTAACATGGGGAGAAAGGATGCAAGAAATATTGCTACACATTTCTTAAATACCATGCTTCACTCATTTACTAATGTATTTACACACACGTATTTAATTTGTTGCAATTTCACAGAGATCTCTGACACTTCTTCACTCCAAGAAGGACCAAGACTGCCTAGTTTGGCATCAGGTGATCCTTAGGGTCAGGTAGTAGTGTGTCCGTCCCAGTCAGGTAAATTCCTTGTCCTTTTTTAAATATATGTATGTCAGGGACAATGACAATAAGGAGGTTGTTGACAAGTACCAGTGTCAACAACAGTGTGAAGAAGAGCTACTCCCAAATAGGACAGAACAAAGGATTTAAAGAAAAGCCATAAAATCTATATAAATAAAAATGTAAATGTTCATTTGTTCAAAATCTTAAATCTCTGAAAGTTCTTCACCGATTGCTTTGAAATTTTGATACAACGTTGCATTCGAATACGCGCGTGTTGTTATATATCTACTATTATATAGATGTCACACCTGTGACAGGTAAAAACATGTTTTTGAAAAACAGCGCCATCTGTTGGACGTAAAAGCAACACACTTCTTTTCCATTTAACCAGACTGAGCCACAGCAACGCGTGGCCGGGTACAGCTAGTGATATAATAAATACAAACAAATCAATCCCATAGGCAGATGGAGATCTTTAAAGAAGTATCTCTAAAGTGCCTCTTTTCATTCTGAATCCTTCTTACTGATGCTTATTATACCAACATAGGGCAGACTATAATAATTAAACATCAGCCATAGCCTAATTCTGGGTGAGGTTTTAAATAATCAAGTGCTCATGAAATCTTGTCAGGGCTAAACTAATTAAATGCATCTTTGGATCAAACAAGGATTTAAAAAGCACAATTAGCATCAATTGGTAGACAGATAATTAGCAAGAACAGAGCTGTTGGTGCCTCCCCATTCTCTACCAAAAGAAAAAAAAAGAGCCAAAACTATTATTTGATTGGAGAGTGGGGAAGCAGACTCTTTGTATGCCCAAACAATGCACTTTCAGTAGTAAAAGTTTCATTAGGATAGCTCCTAAAACAGGAAAGGGTTAAATAATGTGGTACACAGTACTAATGTCCAGGAGTCCTCTACATTTCCTGGGACTTAATTGCCTATCAAACATAGAACATGATAACAAGCATTTTTATAAGTTCAAACTTTTAAATATCATAGCTTTCTAGTGATTGCTTAAGCCAATACACTGAAAACTATGGCCACTTCTTCTGATCATAATGCTATATGTCAGGGGTTCCCAACCAGAGGGTGCGAGACAATATTCCAGGGGTGTGTGAAAACTTGGGTTTTCAAAATTATAGTGTATATGCATAATTTGTTGCCGTTATTTCGAACTTTTGTAAAGAGTGCAAGAATATATCTATATCACAAGCGTTCTAGGGCTGCGGGGTATAAAAAAGGTTGGGAGCCGCTGTTATATAGAACCATATCTTCAACAGGGGAGGGAGGAACAACACAACTGATACTAGCTTGAGGAAACCACTGCATGCAGAATATGGATCCACCAAAATATTTCTATCAGAAACACGCCCGCTTGCATCAATTCATTTTTGTGATGTCAGTCCTTCCTTCATACATTGTTCTAACACTCCAATATTAGATCCAAAAAACATATTTTTCCCCTCATGGGGCTTTAGAAGAATGCAAACAGATGTATTGGAATATAATTTCAACTTCCCCCAAAGTTTTATTAATTTTTTAGAAGCAGAATTCCTTTAGAATTAAGTATAAAGTTAGGTTTGAACTTTATCTCTATCCTAGAATGTGGCAAGAAAGTCACAAGGGCACCATGAAATATTTTAATTTTTCAGGAAACACAGTGATATTTGACATCTGTCAGACAGCATGCAAACTATTAGCTTAAGATACTTCACAGTTTTGGCCTCAGAGCATTATGAAAAAATTACAAAGCCACAAAGGATGCCATAAACCGAGAAAGTTTGGGAACCTCTGTTCTATATTGCATTTTGAGTTAAAAAGATGCCAAGCCATGTACCAGGCGAGGACTCTTTTACTTTTGTGCCATGTTGATAAGGAATGGGCTTATCTTGGATAAAAGAGAAAAAACATGCACTGCTAAAAGTCTGTGATTACACAACCAAAGTTTGGCAGCAAAATAAGTAGGTATTGTGGCAGCAGTACAGGTATATCTCAACGTACAACTGTAATTGGGGGCCAGACTTTCTGTTGCTAAGCAAAAGTTAGGTTGTTAAATCAGTCGCACCCAATTTTATAACCATTTTTCTCATGGTTGTTAAGTAAATCATTGCAGGTGTTAAGTGAAACATGTGACTGTTAAGCAAATCTGCTCCCCCCCCCCCCCGGTCTTTGCTTATTGGAAGCTGACTGGGAAGGTTGCAAATGGTGATCACATGACCCTGGGACATTGCAACCACTGTAAATACACGCCGGTTGCCAAGCACCCAAATTTTGATCACTTGAAGGTAGAGATGTTCAACAGTCATAAACATGAGGGCCAATCATAAGTTACTTTTTCTGTGCCGCTGTAACTTCGAACTATCGGTAAACAAAAGGTTTTAAGTTGAGGACTACCAGTACTGGGCCCAAGGATCAGATAAATGGAGTTGGGAGACCACACCTGTCACATGCTCCTCCATGAAAATATCGGAGTGAATCAGAGCTCTTGGTCATGCCACTACATGCCCCAACCCCTTCCTATTGCATTCCATCACCAAAGGCTTTGAATCTTGATCAATTTCACGCCAGCTCCCAGCAATGGCCATCTCAGCCTAAAATTCTTTGGTTGATACACCTGCTTGACCCAGGTGAGTTAAAGAAAAGCTGCATTCATACATGCAGCTTGATTAGTGTTCCTTTGAGTTCGTTTTTCATGGCTTAATTTATTGTCTTGGTGTTCGATAGTGCAAGCAGAGACAGTGGATTAATACAAAAACTGGATTATGTGTGTTGTAGAATGCAGTCTAGCTTGCTGAATATAAGTAGAAGGGCGGTTTTTAGTTCAACAATGTAGTAAGATCATCCCCTGCTGGTAGACAGATAAAAATCACCGCATTTCCTCCTACAGTATCTTCCCCCCCCCTCCATGCTTTGCTGCTTTGCCATGAAAAAGGAAGAGGGACAGAAAACCTCTGGACCTCAACCTGATACAAAAGCTCCCTGCAAGCGCCTTGTTCATGATGCTGGTGAGAAGAATGTTCCTTTCCTTTGGTCACCAACTGGGGAGGTGGAAAGGAGGGAAGTCAAAGGGAGAGAATAAACTGGGGTCTAAAGGCAGTGAAAAATGGGGGGACACAAAAGGATAAAAAAAAAAATTAAGAGGTTACCACTTACATCTTGCTTATGGTCCCCAAGAAATTTGCTTCCAAATAAATATCAGATTAGAATAACATTTTGGCTGGGAAATTCTGGGAGTTGACATCCACACATCTTCAGCCTGCCAAGGATGAGAAAGGCTGCTGGAAACAGCTGATAAGAGAAACACACTACAGATTCCATTCTGATGCCACTGGAGGAGTGGGAACGTCTTTGCTTTTTCATACCATAATCGAATACACTTCATGTATGCAGATATCTATAGTATTTTGCATCTCAGAAATACTCTGTAATTCCTTCTTTCATGGAATTTTACTGCATCTCTTTTAGATCCTGAGCAGTTGTATTCTTATTTTACAGACCAGGAGACTGAGGGTCAATCAAGGGGCTGAAACTGATGTTTCCCGTATTTTTTCCCTGTAAATGGCTGCATCCTAATGTGGGCTAGCTAAGGAAAACTATGATATCACCTTAATGTCCTCAGATTATCTTCTCTCTCTCAGGTTGTTGCTATTGTTACTATCAGCTTTTCCCAAGAAATTCAGTGTACCAAACATGTAACATGTTTGCTATTTTCTCTTCACAATAACCCGGTCACGGAGGTGAGACTGAAAGAACAATCTGGACATCTACAATGTTATGAATCCAGAATAAGTCTAATACGCTTTATCTAGAATTGCACCTCACTAGGGCTGTTTATTTAACATAAAAACCTTTCCTATACTCAAAGTGCAGCAATGGTGTCTGGGAATTGAGGGGAGGGAAATGGATAAACGGGGTTTCTTTGCCTATAGTGGTGAAAGCGCCTCTAAGATTTTCTCATGGAAGAGTATATTTTTCTTTCATTGTTTTATATATCAGAGATATTGATGATTCTCTTGGTAGTTTTGTAGCTATTGTCTTCAGCTTCACAAAGGTTAAGGTCTTGCACAAACATATAGAATTGTTTACACCGAACATCTTTTTAAATAAGAGGAATGTAAAGAATAAATACTGTACACTGACGTCCACCTCCCAACACAGGGAAGGGAACTAGATAAATATGTCTCCGCTATACAGATAAAATCATTCCAAAGGATAGGGAGGATGGATCAGGTTCATCAGCTGCCCAGTTAACTCTTGTGCAAATTTATCCCCGGGACTCCAAGGATCTGTAGAAATGAAAGAGAAAAAAACCCACATTGTGACAGCAACATAGCATGGATTCTATGTATAGTCAACCAGAAACCAGTATTAGGTGCTCCCTATTCTCAGGGCATATAAATTTGATGGACTCAAATATCTGGTCTTCCATATAACTAGCCTAGCCCCTTCAGTTCTGCAACAATGACAAGATAATACTTGGAAGTATTAGGCACTGGCTTCAGAAGTCTCTAAGTAGATAGACAGAACCAACTGAAATTTACATCCAAAATTCTCAATAGTAAGTAAAAATTTAGATTTTTTTTTTATCTAATAGTCAGAATATATGAAAACCCACATTTCAGATTTGTTGGAACTTGAAGGTAGATCTGTTTGCTGTGGTTTAAATCAGTGTTTCTCAATCTCAACAAATTTTAAGATATGTGCACTTCAACTCCCAGAATTCCCCACCCAGCAGGCTAGCTAGGGGATTTGGGGAATCGAAACCCACACAGCTTAAAGTTGCAGAGAAAAATTGATTTAAGCGATTACAGCACTTGGATTGCAAAAATAGTTTCTTTTTTGTCCTCAGCTGAATGTTTGGCTGATAATTGCACTGAGAGCCAAATTAGGCACACAGTCGGCAAAATTGACAATAGTATGTAAAGTTGTTTTTAAAAAATTACAGAAGGGATAACTTAAACTCAGATGCTGGCTTGGAGCAAATAGGCTCCTTCCCCCCTCTTCTATTACAACCCCAACCTGGATTATGGCTCCAATCCAATTAATTGGAAGGAGGGAATGTGCTCCCAAATAACAAACTCTGTATCAAGAAGAATCTCTGAAAACAATGTTCAGACTTTCAGTCTGGATTCAGGGCCAGCTATGAGACAGAGGCCTCATTGATGACACCTGTGAATGATCTCTGGCGAGAACGGGATGGGTGCAAACATCCTGGCTCTCTCTGACCTCTCAGCAGAGGTCAACTATGGTATTCTGTGGGCCTGCTATAGAGCTTAAGACTTGGCATTTCTGTGCTGGCTGAGCTCCTTTCTCCAAGGTTGGTCCCAATCAGTATTGATAGGGAGTGAGAGATCCAGCCTCTCATATGTCATACTCACTCTCCTTTTTGACATCTACCCGAAGCTGCTGGATGAAATCATCCATCGCTATGGGTTGAAATATCATCAACATGCTGATGGTACTCAACTTTACTTATCCACCTGGTAACTTGGTGATGCTGTTGCTACCCTCTATGGTATTTGGAAGCTGCAGGGGCTTGGATGGGGAACGGGCTATGACTGAACCGTGGCAAGACCGTGGCTTTGGGTGCATGGAGTTTCCAGATCCAAGTCTTTGGCATATTTGGTTCTGGATGGTTGCATTGCCCTGTTGAGAACCAGTTCGCAACCCCCAACCCAGTTCAGAGTTCTCCTGGACTTGCAACTTCTGTTTGAAGATCAAGTGGCGGTGGTGTTTAGAAGAGCTTCGACCATTGCACCAACTGTGATCTTTCTTGGATCTGGACTCCCTGCACTTGGTCATTCAAGCCCTAGTTATCTCTCATCTGGTTACTGCAATGCACTTTACATGGGGCTACTTTTGAAATGCATTTGGAAGCTTCAACTGATGTAAGGTGCACGAGCAGTCTTTGGGGATTGTAGAATGATCCTTGTTATACCACTGCTTCACAAGCTGCACGGCTGCCAGCTTGTTTCCAGGTGCAGTTCAAAGTATTGGTTATGACCTTTAAAGCCCTCCGTGGCATAGATCCACATTATTTGATGAACTCTCTTGTCCCTCTAAGATTAGCCCACTTTACTCATGCTGGCAGAGGAGGCCTGTTGAAGATCCCGTCAGTCAAGGAACTCTGACTGATGGAATCCCAGGAGAAGAATCTTCTCTGTTGTAATGCTGGTCCTCTGGAACTTCCTGTCCCCCAGGTAAAGCCCACCCTCCTATCCTTCCACAAGATTGAAGGCTTGTCTCTGCCAGTTGACCTGGGGACCCAAAAGGGGAGTACAACACAGGAGATGGCTGCTGGACTAACTTGCTGACCTTACCTCCCCCCTGCACTTCCTGCTCCAGCTTTACTCAAATTTTTAATTCCATATTATTGTACTTCCACTGTTTATTTGTATTTATTTACTCCTTTACTATTGTTATTTTTACATTTTTTATCATTTTTTTCGATTTTATTGTTGTAGGCAGCCCACAGTAGACTCATGGAGAGATGGGTGGCAAATAAAATGAATGAATGAATGAATGCTTTTTTCTTAGATTTCCCAATGAACTTAAAAGTCTTCCTGAATTGTAGCAATAAAAAATGCATTACAAACACCATTCTCTTTTGAATGTTTTTAAATACTCGCAAAATTAACCATCCACTCTATAATATTTCTGCCCTAGAAGACATCACAATCCTCTAAGGTAGGGGTCTCCAACCCCTGGGCCTTGGACCGGTACCAGTCCATGGCCTTTTAGGAACCGGACTGCAGAAGCAGCAGGCGAGCAAGCAAGCAAAGCTTCATCTGAGCATCCACTCCTAGGCTGCATGCAAAACCGTCCAGCCCAGTCTGTGGAAGACAATTTTTCTTCCAAAAGCGGTCCCTGATGCCAGACAGGTTGGGGACCACTTCTCTAAGGTACAAGCAGCAGCTGGTATTTTCAGGGATGGGGGAGTGGGGGGGGGAGAAAATTCCTTAAAGCCACCAACTCCCTTCTTTTGCCTCTGAAACAAAAACTGGCAACCTGCTGGGTACCCGTTATTCTCAATACCCATTTCAGAGTCCATTCTTACGAGTAACTGTTGTGTTGCTGCCGGCGCCGCGCTGTTCTCATCTTCTCAAAGCGTGCCTCCATCTCCTCCAGTACTTTGGGTGTGTAGCGCACAACCAGTTTCACTGTGCCTTGTGCTGCTTTCAGAAGTTCCACAGCCCGCTCATGTTGCTCACCCTCCACACTCTGCAAGAGAGGAGACAAAAAGGCAGGGTCATGAAAGGGGAAGGGCTGTTCCTCTTACAATCCTCCTCACACAAAAAGGCAACTCTTGTCCCACCCTACCCATCACTGGTGAGGAACGTCCACCTTTTCTACCTTAAATTACAAATTTATGCAAATGGTACTTCAGAAAAAATGCCAGAGAGGCAAGGGTGGCTATTCAGATTTCCAGCCAATAATACCTCTAAGGTGGTCATCCAAACCATTTTTCTTCATATTTGGCCTGTATTTCTTTGGCAATGAACATGGCCACTTGTCACTAAGCTGGGATTTATGAGGGAAGGTTCTGCTACAACTTATAGTAGTATCCCTTTTCACAAAAAGATGTTTTTGGACCCACATTCCAATCAATGCCTTCTATTAGAGTATGCATCATTTTGTTTTGGCTTCATAAAGGTTTGCAGTTAATGTATAGCTTCTTCTACAAATGGATGCCCTCTGGATATACTGGGACTATAGTTCACAGAATTGTGCCAGTTCAGACTTTAGGAGAATGCGAGTTTAAGGGAGGACAGGACAGAGGATCATCTCAGCTACCACATGTCTTGTAATACAGACTGATGTCTTACATAATTGATATGTGGATTTATCACCATTTCATGTCATAAATTATCTTCCTCATGCATAAACTGTTCATATCTTTATAAAAGCTATTTATCCAAAATGAAGGTTCTGTTCATTCAAATGCTATCAAATCCTTAACCAATCTACCTATTAAATCCCAAGCCTAATGTAAGCACAGGACATTTTTTAGCACTTTTCAGCACTACAAAGCCTCAGCAAATCCCAGTAGCCAATGCCTATTCTGAGCTTTAAATATTTTTTTTTCAGTATTCTAAGTGTGAAGAGAAGCTGGATCTGGGAGAGTTGCCTTTTCATTTGCATTATGCCAAAGTATTATGTGAAATTAAAATGGTAGCTTTCATTTTCCATAGTGGCCTGGAGCAATTCTGGAAGAATGGTGGGAAATTAAAATTTCCCTATTCCCAGGCCACCTGATACTAGACAAGGCTGGCAGAAGGCAGGCACCTATTTGTCAGGCATAAGGAATCAGAAATGACACAAGAAGCTGATCAGAATGGTATGTTCATTGCTACTCACCTATTGACAGGAGTTTTGCCAAATTAAGGCACTTGCTGTAGAAACTAATACATAAAACCTTGTGAACATTTAGGGAGGATCACCTTTCATCCACTTGCTCCACCTCAGTGATTGAGGCTACCTAATGTTTTCAGTCTTCCCCTCAACTCTGCAACAGATTCTACCCCACTATTTGCTGAAAGACATTTTGGCTACCTAACACACTTGGGGTTCAGCATTCACTAGAATCAGGAAGTTGCCAGTCAGTGCCCAGAAATGCTATGCACATCTCCACATCTTTGCCATTCAGCCATAGAAGGGTCACACGTCTCCCCTCACCCAATACCCACCACACCATTGACAGACAGCAGTTGATCTCCACGCTTCAGCCCGCCATGGCGATCAGCAACACCCCCTGGGATGATGCGAGAAATATAGATGGGGGAGTTCTGCTCCTTGCCCCCCATGATGTTAAAACCTAGGCCCTCATCTGTCTTTGGCAGCTCCACCACCCGGGGATGCGCGTGGCCCTCACTAGCTGCAAAGGCCGCCACTGTTGCCTGCATACACAAAGGAAAGACCAGGAGAGTCCAAGTCAACATTCACAACATACCAAACAGTACAAAGTTTAAAGAAATTCTAATTCTGATACCATAAACAAATTTCTGAGTGGAAATTGTATTTGACATTACTTTTATATCCTGTTCTCGGAATTTGGCACATAGCTTTGTAGCACGGCTGTTAGTGGAAGTTGAGCATCTAATGACAAATATTGTAGAGGTAATAAATCTAAAATGTGATTTTAGGCTAGCATACCCAGCTCTATTCATTTCAGTCTATTTTGAAATTACATAGTTTCCTTCAATTCTATATGTCCTGTTAACAGCTTCTTTTATACTTAATCCAAATTGGATGCATTAAAACAGTGATGGCGAACCTTTTAGAGACCGAGTGCCCAAACTGCAACCCAAAACCCACTTATTTATCGCCAGGTGCCAGGTGGGCGTGGCCCACTGGGTGGGCGTGGCTGTGGTGGTCATGGCAGACTGGGTGGGTGTGGTCACCTCAATGTTGCTCGTGGGGAGGGATGCCTGTGGGGCCAGGCAAGGTTGGGAAGATCCAGGGGATCTCTGGCAGATGGGGCGGTGGGCAGGAGGCTCATCCTGCAGGGTGAGTTGAGGCAAGGTGAGGCAGGGCAGGGTACCACTGTTGCAGGGCAAGGCAAGGCAGGGGCCGGGGCGGCTGCTGCCTGGTACCACTGGCCCCCTGACACACAGAGGCCAGCGAACGCATGGGTACTGGGATGCATGCGGCCACATGGGACCTTGGCGACTTAGCGGACAGCTGGTTGAAGAGGGATGGTTGCCATCTCCGGGGCATGGTGCGCATGCCCACAGAGAGGACTCTGAGTGCTGCCTCTGGCACGTGTGGATTAGAAAATGTTCCACATATGTTGGTTTTGGAAATGTGTTTAAAACAAAAAGGGACCCAATCCCCTTTGCTTCAAATATAGAGGTATGACAGGAGGGAGTGTGAAGGTGGCAACTGTAATCACACAATCAAAGCTCTGCTTTCTTTTTAATGTGTGTCACATGTGCAATACACTTTAAAAGGCAGTGAGGTTTTAATTGCATGGTTGCTGCCATCATATTTTATTTTTCAGGAGAACCAGAAAGCTGGGGAGGAGGCGAACCAGAAAGTAAAGGAGAAGAAAAACAAAAGAAATGATAAATGATAAGAATTAGGTAACAGTTTATCAAATGTTAAGAAAAAGGCAAAGCATTCCTTTATTCATTTACTATAACATTAAGTCAATATGTTGTATAATCATGATCAATTTGATATTTTAAAAACTTTATTTCTCATCCTGCAGTCACTGGCCCAGTCATATCCCTTAATTTGGAATCTTGCAGATACTTATTTTAGAATTATTTTTATTGATTTTATGTAATCCCTCAGAAAATGTTTTTGGTAGAAGAGCAGGGTGCCTATAAATAAATGAGTATAATAGGGATATTTTGTTTCCCTTTCCCTTTCTGAAGTTTTAAGGCATGTAAGACTGTTTCTCACAGCAGGTATATTTCTACTTAATTAATGTCACCCTGAAAGGTTTTTAGCTTTGAGTCCCAAGAGTACATATACCCAGTAGGATGAGTTATTACCAATGACCTACTTCTATGATACTCGCAGACATATATAGGTAACCATCATTTTATTTTGTTCGCCAGTGTTTAAAATAATTGTTTCAAAAATTCCTAAACCATCTTTCATTTAAATGAATCCCAAAATATTTAACCAAACATGAATAAATAATAATTATGCTGAACACAATGTAGCAATGATTAGAAAACCAAAAGAGAAAAAAATCACAATAATATAAAGCAGGGACAACATTGCTTGCATTCCAAATGCTTTAAAAAATTAAGTCATGAACAGATATCTTACACACAGATATTAATGCCAGATATATTTCCTTTTGGAAGGAACTGCAAAGTTATGACATTACCCCTGCCCACCCACTCACCCACCCCCACTCGGTGTAGGCACCTAACACCTGTTTGAAATCAAATACATCCACATCTCAGGTTGTACTGTAGCTGTGGAGGGTAGACACATATTACTGACTGCCCCTATATGTCTCAAAACAGTTTTGTACCTTCAAATCCAATTCATTACACAACCCTGGTAGATCCTGAACCCTTAAAAGGTCAATGGACGGAGTATCTGGAGAGCATTGGATTGCTTACCATTCCAGAGAATTAGGGAATACAAATCAAAGGTTAATAGGGTGTGAAGAGATGCGGATTTGAGGGAGAAAATGTGATTTGGAAAGCACACAGATGTGCTTATGGCACTTGTCAGTAACAACTTGAAAGCAGTTGTGTTTTCCTAGATTCGCATAAGGTGTGACACAGATCCAGACTTCTATAGTGCTATCAGAAGTAGCATCATAAAAAGCTTGTTGAATTACCTTAGCAGTAGCATGTGCCCGAATTTCAGCACTTCCCGAGATATCCAAAGTGTCATACAGCTGCTCATAAACCTGTCCAGAGATACAAGAGAGGACAAGAAGATCGCTTTCCAATGGCAAGACTCTGCAAAATTCAAGATCCAGTTAGGTGCCATTGGTAATAAAAAGAAAAGGGAGAGTAAAGAAATCAAAACATCAGAAATAACTAACAAACAGAAATGGAAATGGTTAAATGAAATTCTTGGGAGAGAATCTGATGCAGAATGGCAGAGTAAAAGAGTGCAATGGTAGTAGAAAGTGGATTGAAATAAGAATCCTATCATGATATGCATTGCACCAACTGTGCAATTACCAGAAATTACATGAGGTGATGAAGAATCGTGACTAGGGCTGGGAAAGGAGGAGAGGACCTTCAGAACTAATGCTATGTGTTTTGTAATGTAGCAGCCTATTCTTCTTCTTCTTGTGCCATATCCGTTATCGGACATTGGCGATCATGTTGGCAATCCTGTTTTTATTAGCAGCCGCACGAAAAAGTGCTGCTGAGTTTTGTCCAAACAAATCAGGTACACAGGTACACAGGCCTAGTTCATAAGTGATAAGATGATGGCTAGGTTCCCACAAAATTTCACAACCACCTTTTAGCCCAGCCTAAGCACAGGGCGAAAACCCAGTCGGTATTTATACTAAACATATTTTGCAAAACTGGCACTCTTAACCATCATCTTTAACTCCATCTCCCCTACTCCCAAACATTTTTCTAAAGAAACTCATCCCTGAAGTGGGGAAAAAGGTTAAACACTAGCAGAAATATGGAAGGCAGAAGGATGGGCAACTTAAATAGGACAAACTTGTCAGTCTCACCTCCCGTATGGCACAGCAGAATTTGCTCTGTAGCACCCTCTGAAGGGCTTGCAATTTCTGGGGGGGCACCTCCCCACTGCGTTGCAGCCGCTCCAGCAATTCGACCGCTCGAGCCACATCTACAAAAAGAAAAAAAGAAGAAAAAAACAGAACCGAGAGTGCTAGAGGGCATTTGGGACCGAATTCAAGGCGAGTGGCGGAAGAGTGTAACCCAGCCATGGCTTCTGGCTTCGCTGTTCCGGGGCGCTGCATCTCACTACCTAGAGAAAAGGGAGAGAAGAAGAGAACCCAGCTCGCGTCTTTTCGACGGGGCCATAGCCAGAGAGGAAATCAAGAAGCAGATTCCACCATATTCTAACAGGAAGCACCGCATGTCCTCACCTTCCCATCCCTGCTCCTCTGCCGCCGAACCCACGGCGACTCTTATGTCACCAGCCCTCCCCAGAAGTCTGCAGATACTCCGTCCTCTCTCTCGGCAGCCCTCTCGCAATCGGGGCTGCTAGATTCCAGCTATGATTACATTCCCTCCTTCGCTTCAAAGGCTGCCTTACCACTTCTCTCCGGTCCACCAGGCACATTCGACGCGAATCTCCGTTCCGAGGCAAACCCATCTCCATCCTTACCTCTCTCCAGCCCTAGAGGCTCCGCCAGCGCTGCCATCTTCACGTCCGAGAACCCTACCGCCGCCTCGTACGTCAAAGCGGAAGGGTGGGAAGTGCGTGTGGGATTCTGCAAGCCGGCGCACAGCCCTGCCTCCGGGCTACTGATGCGCGTGTCTGCCTAGGCACGTGTGTTGAGGACCCTGCTTCTCGGGCGCTACTGAGGTCAGATAGGAGCCTCTCCCGTTTCCCAAGAAAAAGAAAAGCGCCACCATGAAGTCCGATAGCCGGTAGATGGAAGTTCAACGCTCAGAGATGTTAAACCTAAGCCTCCTCCATATTTGGTTAGAGCCGATGGTGCATAAGCAGCAGGTGCCGAATTTTCCCTTAAACGTAAAATGGACTCTCGTCGAACGTGCCTGGAATCGCTGGATGAATCTTTACGTAAGGAAATACTCCCATCATGCCTGCCTTTACCATGACATCAAAGCACCCAAGCCTTTTATTTCACAGGCACAGCAGCCAGTTGAACTCATTTCTGTACTCAGGAAGAATTTGCAACTTTCTGGTATAACTCAGTCTCTTGTACAAATTTTTATTTTAATTCAGATGTCTAAAGGCCTTTAGTTATATTGGAAGTTCATTTCCATCAGCTCCTGCTACCAAAGTGAATATCAGAGTAACCTGCTGTTACTTGTAAGCAAATACTTTCATTGCTTGATTTAATTATGCAACAGAACACTGTTTTGCAAAAGTATCTCAGTAAAGAATAGCACTTGGCCAGGCTTATTTGGCCTTGACAACTAAGCAGAATCCAGCTCAATTATAAATGAAATCTGCATATACACAGATTTAAGAAAGCAATGGCAAACTACTTCTTATATTCATAGCAGAAAAACTGAAAATGTGTTCCCAATTCACCAGGAGTTAAGCTTTATTTGAAGAAGACTCTATCTTTAATAGAATATTACTAACATGTAACAGACTATAGTTTAATCATGTAAAAATGCCTTTGCATATCATAGTATAGCAAACAAATCATACATATTCCTGTGGTGTAGTGATAGGAGTCACAGAATGGGATTCAATTCTTCAAGAAGTCATTAACTTTAATTCAGTAAATTTCTGATTAAAAATCTAACCCTACTGTAAAAAAACAATTTAGGTGCAAACTAATAAAGAGCTTCTTTCCATCAATTTCTGTGTACATTTATTTTGCTGTTCTCGTTCCCTTTTCCCTTCAGGCCCAATTCATCCAGTTGCGGTATTTCATTTGTTATATTTGCTTGCAAGAACCTGTCCATCAATTAAATCACACTGGCGTGACTATTTCATGAAATAAGCACGGATTCCCTTTCAATATTGGGTGTTATGTAAGTGGAAGCAGAGAAGCTGAGGATTTGGAAGCATAACTTCAGTTGAGCATCATTCTATACTCTTGTCTTCAATTAAAAAAAAGATTTTGCTTGTGGTTTTCTATTGTAGTAATACAATCCTGGCAATTTTCCAGGCAATTTTGTATCAAACTAAAACCTACATTTTAATTTTTAACCACAATATAGGTTCATGGAAAGTTGTGAATTTCATGGGAGCTATCCCAAAAAATATCTGATATCCAAAAAACGTTGCCAAAAAACCTAAGTGTTCTGGCTCACTTTGTCCCCTGGAGTCAGGATAGACTCGAAGGCATTTTATACTCAATATGGTATTCAGTGCAGAGTTTTATTCCTTGTAGAATCTTTCACTTCATAATTAAAAAACAAGCTTCTAGGCTTTGGACTTCAACCATGTGGTTGAAAATACAGAGATAGTGAACCATGCCCAGTAACTGAAAATAAATATTTAGTATCCTAATTTATTGTGCATCCCTTTCCAAAGTATAGATTGAGCAAGCTAAAATAGGTTTATTAGATAAAATAAGCTCCAAAAATGCATTCATTCAAATTGTGAGATGCAACCTTTCTCTTTATTGCTCATCTTGAAATTATTATCAATTCTGTCCATGTATAAATGTAATTCTAACTAAATATTCCTTTTATATCATTTCCCACATCAGTCAAATGCAGATAAATCAGGCTGATCTCAGTGCATCTTGTTGAAGTTTGTTCACATTCTTCCTCAATCTACAAAGTCATTCGCCATTGATAAGAGAGCAAAGAACTGGTCTTTTTGCTCCCACAACTGATTTTTTTCATTACCTTTTGATGCTTTCTACTTGCTGCTTCCTGCTCCAGCCTCTCTCTGCCCTCTCTCCCAAAGCACAAGCAAAACCCTGAATCACTGATTATCAATATATTTTCAGCAGCAGTCTGGCATGAAACTAAATACCTCTAGCAGGTCTCTCATAACTAGTAATCGAGAATCAGCAAAGCACTTCTGCTATCATCCCAATCTCATATACATTTCACATGAAGAAAAAAACATTTTAACACTTTATTCTTGTTTAAACAAAAATATCCAAATACATAAGGGATTGGTGGAAAGTTACATGTTAAGAAGAAATGGGATGGGACAAACAGACCTGAAACACTTACCCTTCTAAATAAAACCAGTTAAAAACCAGTTACCTCAACTGGCTGACAGGGCCTCGTTGGCTAGCAGCCTGGGAAGCAGAGCCTCACCCGGCTGGACAAGGAAGAGTCTCCATCACTCCAGTGGGGGCTCCATTATGTATCCATTTTCAGTAGATAAGTAGCCATCAGCTGACTGTATGGATTCTTGGTCCAGGAACATATCCTGACTGGTTTCCTCCAATGCTCCTCCCATCCCATTGTCCTGCCCTCTCTCCTCCCGTTTTTCTCCACCCCGCTCAGCCCTCTCACGCTTGTGCTCACGATCACGATCTCTATCTCGATCCCTATCACGCCGACGCTCTCTATCACGCTCCCTGTCTCTGTCTTTGTCACGATGACCACGCCGACGGTCCCTCTCTCTCTCCCGATCCCTCTCCCTCTCCCTCCCTTTCTCTTCCCCTTCAGGCTTCGCCTCTACCCCATCTACACCTATCTCGCCAAGAGTAGCCTCATCAGGCTGGGCCTCTCCCACTTCTGGCAACTCCTCCTTCTTTTCTCTATCTCGGTCCCGATCTCGCTTGCGGTCTCTAGAACGACTCCGGCGCTTGCGTTCCCGGTCTTTATCCTTGCTTCTTTCCCGGCTACGTTTCCGCTCCTCTTTCTCTCGGCTCCGTGTTCGCCTCCTGCGTTCTCGGGATCGGCTGCGACGGCGTTCCCGCTCCTTGTCCCGGTCTCGGCTGCGGTCTCGGCGATCACGTTCACGTTCACGGTCCCTATCCCTGAGAGAACCAAGGTAAAATAAGCATTAAAGAATTAGAATGAATAATGTCTGAGCACACAGCATCAGCAATACAATCTAGTTTTTTCATTAAGAAAAAGTAAAGCTTCCATTATGATCAACAGACTTCAAATGTAATCACAAAGATACTATCTAAGAGCCTTAAAAAATACTATTCAATTTGTATATGATGTATTTTTTTAACCAAATAAAAGACTTTCTGCTCCAATTAAGAATCTTCAAATTTTAAGTATCAGATCATTTTTTCTATCTGCTTTGTGGATCCTCTAACATGCAGCCGGAATTACATAAAAATTTGAAAAAGAAGAGTTATTTTTTATCTTGCCTTTATTATTTTTATAAATAACTAAAGGCGGTGAACATACCTAATACTTTTCTTCTATTTTCCACACAACCCTAACAAGATGGATTGGCCCAACTCTGAGACAGTGACTGGCCCAAAGTCACCTAGCCAGCTTCCACACCTATGGTAGGGCTACAACGCAATTTCCTGCTTTCTAACCTGGTACCTTAACCACTACACCAGACTTTTTTTTCTGTTGCTTCCACAAGGAAACACAGTTAACACTCTTAAAATCAGGAATGATGGCAGAAACACCATCCTATTTTATCCCAATACATTCTGACTTACCGTTCATCATACCGAGAAGTGTCATCTCGACCTGAATGTCTTATATTTACATCAGCACCTCCCCGTCGAGTACCACCGAGACCGCCACCTACAAATGAAAAGAAAATACAAGTTGTTTCCAGTTGTATTCTCTCTTTGGAAGCTGCCCTCTTTGGAATTTGACAGAATTAGTAGAAAACATATTCTCATGCAGGAGTCCTTACTCAGTTTAGTCTTATCAGAAATTTAAATTTTAACCTACTCAAAGCAACTGAATTATATATACAAATAGAAATAATTCATCTTGGAAAAAGAAAAAGTTAAGAAAAGGGAATCCTGTTTAATACAAGAGAATCAAGAGGAAAATGTTTTATTAATAATAGTTAACATTTGATGCTAAGCCATAATGAAGTTTGGTTTTGCTTAGTATGAAATGCCAGCCAACTCATGGCTTGGGGTAAGTAAAAGCCAGAGTATTTCAATTTATTCAACAAAGCACAGTTCAAATTATGGCTTAATAATGTCTGAATGCATCACAAAGTACCTTAATTAGCTTAACAAAAGCCTATTTAGAACACATTATTTACTTGGGTTGAATCTGCTGATAATTCTATGCAAGTTTTCTTTTTAGAAAAAAATACTAACTTCCTTGCCCTTCATTGTACTGAACATTATTTACCACTTTTCTAAACTTGCTCCACCAGTGCACATAGTACTCCAGTACATTATTCAGAACTTTAAAAAGATGGCATTTAGAACCAATTACAGTGTCTTTGATATAATGCTTTTCCACACGCTTACCAAGTCTACGTGGGCGCCATCCCTTCACCGTCCGTCCTCTCTCTACATCCACCAGTACTCGCCTGCCATCAATTTTTTTTCCATCGGCGTGCTTGTATGCCGCTGCAATAGATTAGGAGGAATATCCAGGGGAAAGGGAACGGCAAATGGAATTGCCATTATCTGCAGTGCACATAAACAAGCCCACCCTCCCACAAAACTCATATGAAAAGGATCCAGAGAGGCAACTCCTATGGCCCCAATGATTCCTTGGATAAGGGATTGCTTCACACCTGCTTTGGGAAATCTTGTCTAAAGTTTCTAGGAGGAAACCTAAATAGAGTGCTTGCTGGGAACAAAATCTACATTACTGCAGAATAACGGAAGCAGCGAGCACATCTCAAGAGTAACCTAGCCACATCGGCTATAAATCCTTCAGATTGTGGAGCAAGCCCAGTTCCATCCCATAATGCAACCCCCCTCCTCCCCCAGCCTCTACTGCTGCTGCAAAAAAAGAAATGTTATTGAGCAGTCAAGACATTCACATTATATTCATCATTTGCCCAGAGGGGAAAAGTCTGGGTAAAAACAATTCCTTCATCCAGTCTTTCCAGCTCACTTTAGGGTGAGCCAGGATCTACTGTTCTTTTAATAGTATCCTCAACCAGCCAGTCCCAAAAAACCTAGGCCAAATCCCTCACTCAAAGCGAGAGCTTCTGTGGCTAAACTAAGCAACAGCTTAAGGAAAAGCAGATGTGAAAAGAGAAACAGAATTTTTTTCTATGTTACAGAGGTAGTGGAAGGTTTGACTGGAAAAAAAATATGCACCAAAAAATTAAGAGTAAGAATCCTCTACAGGAACTGGCTGGTACCCTCCCTTAAGAGATCCAACCCACTTTATCCTTCTATACCACCCTTGTTACTATCACCCAGTTGCAAATCTCTAGGATATTTTTTAGGGAAAGGAAATATCCTGAAGCAACTTGCTAAAGGAAGGGTAGGGTGAGTACAACTAATATGTAATAAGGAAATAAAAGCATTTACCTGGAGAAACTACTTACAAAACCATTGCAACTTTTAACTCCTCAAACTCACTGCATCGGGCTGCTAGCGCTGGGGCCCGAGGCGCAGCTCCCCCCTGCCCGGGCGCCCCCGGCTGGGGCGGTATTTTGGGTTTTGCATTTTAGCTGCTGAGCCGACCTTCCCTGCCTTACCTGTCTCAGCAGCAGAAGTCGGACACTCAGATCCCCACCCCTGCCAGCCCCTGCCCAATTCCCCCATTCTCAATCCATTTCCCCAAACTAGGTAAAATCTTTTAAGAGCTTAGGCACATTTCATCCTTTAGGGGTCCTCATAAGCCTTGGGAGTCTCACCCTACACTTCCAAACCTACTGAAGCCATTTATATGTGGCAATGAATCGCAAGTGCGACAAAAGGCGCACAATTAATTAAGTGCTAGATAAAAGTAAATATCCAACCCAGGGATTCAGAAATATTTCTTTTTAAGGAAAAAAAAAGCTTTCAACTTCAGATAATTAAGAAAATGTGCCAATAATGTTTGGCTACCAAACTACTTGTAGCCTTGAGAAATAACCATGATTCTTTAACTTTTTTTTGGTGGGGGTTATTTATTAAAATGCAATAGCTTAATTAAAATGTCTGACACTAGAAAGAAAACAGTGCTTGTACAAAATTGCAAAGGAAATATTTCTGGTTGGGCTTAAAAACTCACAATTTTTTAAAAATAATAAGGTTTTAAAAATATTGAAGGAAAATGAACTCATGGGGACAAACGAAATACCAGGGAATCTCTCTCCTCCGATGTGTGCACATAGAAATAATGCAGAGATGCTCTTCCCCATTTCCTCTTGGGGATGGCAGTTCTCAAAGAAATGGATTCTAGTGTACAGACTTGCAGTCAGAAAAAATACTACTTCAGAAAAATATTGAAAAGCTAATAGTTTTGGGCAAAAGCCTTTATGCAAATAAATACTAACTCTAACTTCTTACCACTGAGAACATTTTCATCTTGTCTAGTTTACTCAGACAAGCTTTGATGAGAGATGCATTTCCCGAAAGTCTGCCACCCTCCCTCCTCCATAAAAAAAAAAAAAAGAGAGAAGTTTGAAACATGGGACTTGACTGAATTGTCATCGTCAAACTGTTTCACATTATTAAGTGGTCATTCTGCGTTTTGAAGATGCTCATCAAGCTGAGAATCAGTCAGTCAAGTTTGATGTTGGACACGATGACACACCATCATCTGTTACAAATAAAGTTAAATTCATGGCTCCTCTCCAGATAAGGTAGCCAGTAGACCAGAGTCACTAATCCACCACCATTTTATTGTAGAAAGGAGATGAAGCTGGGCCTTTTCCAATGAAGAGGTCAATCCGAGGCAAGATGAATTGCAGCATGCTTACCTGAAACCACCCTCTGTACTGAATCTTACCTTCTAGAACATTTTACATAAAGCAGAACAGGCCTATCATAAAAACCTCCTCTGATTTTTTCAGAGCTTCAAAGACTTCTGATGGGATATGAACAATGTGGAATGAAGGGGGGCAACTAATCAAAACCTATTCTCTGATTTACATACAATTAGGGCTGAAAAGTTATTTTCAAAGCCCTTATATTCTACTAATGGCAGTAAATGTACAACTCTAAGCTTCTGAATACCAAATTGGAGCCTCAAATTACTGCCTTATCTAAGAGGTTGGCCACCTGACTTCCAAAAGATGAGATGAAACATTCACTTTTAACACAGAAATCCCATCCTCAAAAGAGAAATTTTTGTGATTTTTTTTCCAATTTCCATGTTTAAATGTAAGGGGGGGGAAATAACAAGGGAACAGACATTTGATTTACACTTCTTTCAGGTATTTTATTGGAAGGCATATTTAATGAAAACAAATAAATATGCAAGAAGTACATGTTTTTTAGGGAGATTGTTACATGACAATTCACATATTTTTCAGAATTAGCATAGCTGGTTATCTGGTCTGAATAAGGAAAATTATAGAACTGAAAGGTTCCATGAGGACTTAGTTTTTAGATAGTTCCTCAAAGAACAAATGTAAACTGATCACATTAAATGATTTACAGCTCAATTTAAAATCACAGATAGCTGTTTTTTTGTTTTTTGTTTGCTAGTGTGGGACTCAAGGATAAAACTTATAATTATTCTCTGGACTCAGGGGCCAGCAACTAATTTTCATGGAAATTGTTTGTACTGTTTAATTATCTTAACAACCAAACAGTATCCTAATACAAAACTAAAATGAAGAATGTTTGTCAGTCTTTAGAGTTCACCATTTTGTCTTGTCCTTGCTTTGGTCAGTTTTTCCAAATAGTTCCCAACTATAAGGATTAGAATCATTCCCAAAGAGAATACTCTGGGAATAATAAAAATTGTCCAGAAGACTTAAGGCTGGGAAAGACATTTCTAGATACGGTTTTGACTTGGAAAAGGTAAGCTGATAATGGCCCCATTTAATTTCTACATTTTAAAATCTTTACAACTACAAATTCAGGGAGGCAAAATAAGTCCTGAATGTTAGCCATGAGCTTTCTTAACATTCCTAGCTGTAGCCTCCTTCAGGCAGAATGAAAAGCTCTGAATACTACACAATTGAAAGAGCTAAGCTAAAGAAGCCAGACAGAAAAAAAAGATACAAGAAAAAACAGCAAGAAATGTGTGTTGTGTCTGAAATGCCCTCTCTACCATTATCCAGGAACCCAGCAACAGTAGTATAGTTGCCTGCTTTCATGTGGAAACCCTTATTTAAGGGAACAATGAGTTAGAATCTCTGTTGAGACAGACATCCCAACCATGTCCCTCTTAAAGGTTCATTATGGTCTTGGCAAGCCATACCAGGGGTAGCTAAAAAAAATCCACTTACTTAGCTTTGTGCCCCAAGTTAGACTAAAAGTACAATTGCCCATTAATTTACTAGCTAAAAGCAGAGCTCAAATATCCTCAGTGTTGCTTCAAATCAACTGAAAGTTCAGGACACATGCAAAAATATGCACTCCCTCCTAAGAAACACATTATTAGCTGATCAGTTTGTCTATCCCAAGTTTAACCAAAAAATAGGCTGTATCTGCACTAACTAAAATATCTGCATTATTCTACACAGAGGTAATGATTTTCCTAAAAACGGAATCCAAGGGATGAAACATGCAACTAGACTTTCTAATATCTCATATGCAAATAATCTAGCAACTGTAAAAATGTTTTGATGATATAAATGTAACTTTAACATTTAAATTCAAGAACATATTCTAGGAACATGTTCACTGAAGCTAGGTATCATACAGAGTATAAATAAATACTCATAGATGGCTGCCAACTTCCATTTAAATTAATCTCTGCTCTTCAAACTCAGCTACTATTAGCTATTCCTCCCAGGTAATTAGTGTTACTATAAGAGCAAAATTAACAGCAAGATGCACAAACTCTATAGTTTTGCCTTGTTTTTAAAATGACAGTGAAAGATTTTTGTTTTGTGCAAGTAGTACAACCCAAGAAAGCACTATAGAAATTGTGCAAATGGTGCTGCTTCTTTCTAGGGACATACATCCTTAGTGACTTTGAATGATGAGGTAATTAATCATGTTAAATTACAATACTACTGTCACATACTTTATGTGCTTTGGAGTAATTACCAACATTTTATTTTTGTCTTGGTTTACCCAGTCAGATAGGAACTGTTTATTTTGTGGTCCTTATATTAGAACATTGCCATACATTTGGATTTACATAATTTAATATAGACACAAATCAATTGGAATTTGTGATTAAGAGATATTATTTATTTTGGATTAGGCAACATGAAATATATCTGTAACTCAGTTTCATATGCCACAAAAAAGCATTTTGATTCCTTTGAAACAGATTCTGCCTATTTCTCTCCTCAGTCCATAGATTATAAAGACTATAAAATGGCACATGTGTGACTTAAGGAAGGAGAATTCACTCAGGATATTTGAGCTATATTAGAAATGGCTGGCCTGTTGCTCCCTCCCTCTTTTAATCCAGGCTGAAAAATATACAACTAACATTAGACCATGAGGAACCTATTTCTTTTTATCCTTCTACACAGCAAAAGAGTTGTATAGAAACCAAAAGAGAAATAGATTCCTTCCTTCCCTCCACCCCCATCTAAACCATATTATCTAGCATCTGCCTTTGACCTGGCTTGTGTATAGAAGTGTGTTGGGTACTGAGGTTCTTACCAATTATACAAACCCTTATACCAACCATACAATGAGATGTTGTAAAGGGGAAGCATAAGGATCAGCTGCAAGCCAGCAGTGGCAATAGCCATCAGAAAGGTGGCTGCAGTGACAATAAGAACACAGAATTAATACAACCCGCTCACAACAGCCTCTCAACAAAAGCAACTTTTCAAAACACAACTTCAGGTCAAAGTTACATTTGCTTCAGAAGAAGAACTTCTTCATAGCATTCATTCTCCCTCTTTAAAAATTAAAAAAAACATAAAAGAATGGGCAACAGTTCAGAATGCAGGGGACCCATAATGCAAGCAGTAACTCTAGACTGCTCCAAAAGATGTTGGCATGACTAGCTGCCCACCCTTAATTTACAGGGATCCATCCCAAAACATAGGAATTTAGGAGATAAGGAGAGGAACTGTTGCCTGTTACTTTAGCACACATTAAATTTGCGGCACCCTAGCTACGTTAATTTGATTTTCCAAAACTAGATAAAGAATGAAAGGAATGCTCCCGAGAGAAACATCTTACCTACAATAAGAGAGACCCAATACAGTATCATCCAAGAATTATGAAATCTGTTGAGAAGGGGATAAAAACTTCCTTCCTTCTTTCCTTTTAGACTACTTTGTTGATCTGATCATGAAGATCCCTTGAAAAACTATCTGAACGATATTAACGGAACTTGGGTGCTCGCCAAACCAAACTAGGCTCCCCCACTCTGAACTTACCTGTCGGGGGGGAAACCCAAGCCCTCAAATAACTTAAGGGCTTAAAATAGTTGTTTTAAAAAAAACATGCTTTTATAATTTAGTTTAAAATATCCATATAGAAAAGGTTAAAATCATCCCATAAAAGGACTTACAGTGCATGTCACGTTCATGTTCATATTCAATGAAGGCGTAGCCACGTGGCTTGCCGGAATGCTTATTGTATACCATGTAGATCTAGAAAGGAATAATTAAGCAGACACATACGCTCAATGTAGCCCATATGCAGCAGTCTTATTTCCTTTAATCTGAAGGTCATATTGGGCTTCAACTGGTTCATTGAAAATTATACCAACATCATAAGGGGTACTTGTTATACATCCATTATTTACATTTTGATGTTTTGTAGGGTTCTGTAGCAGCGAAGTGCTACAAAGTGTTTTTTAAGGGTCTGAAGATAATATTAAGAGGCAAATCGAGTACTTTAGATGTCTTTTTAGAATATTGTATGTTTGTATACACATTTTACAACCATTTTGCCTCTCAGCCATTCAGTTTAAAAAAAAAAACATCCATCCAACCTGCAGTTTTTACATCTGTTTGACATCTTCTATTAATCTCCATCTGAGTTCCAAAAAATACCACTTTGAAGAATCCCATCATTTAAGAGATTACCAATCAAATGGAAAAAGAGGAGCGTCCTTTTATGCTGTTCTTGTTTTTATTTTTATTATTGTTGCTGTTCTTGTTATTATTATTATTCTGATTTATCTGGGTAAGCATTTACACAGGAAGATTCCTTATGATATATGGTTGTCTCTCTTTCCTGAGTTTTGTTTATGTTGTCTGATCAGTCACTATGATTGCAACTATAAAACTTCAGTTGGTATTGCCTTTGCAAATTTTAGATTCTTGAGATGAAGACTTAAAAACTATACTATATCATCTTACTTTACATTTCTTCTGAAATTCTTTAAGTATATTTTTATGTGAAAACTACCATATTAAAAAAAACATAAATTCCTTCCCTTAGAGAGCAAAAACAGGAATGTTAAATGGTAATATTATCTTAATCTAGAGTAGACTATGAGTACAAAAGATGCTCAGGTTAGGGCACCCCTCCTTCCATTGTGAAGATATGTGTCTTCCAGAACACTGATCTAAACTACTCACTCTTTTGATGGGTCCATAGACTTCAAACTCTCGCCTCAATTTGGACTCTGTTGTATCATAATTCTGGAAAATAAGTAGGAAGAGCAGAGATAAAATTTATGGAAAATTAAAGATACCTCTCTCTAGGATTATTAATTTATTTATTTATTTATTATTTATATTTCTACCCCGCCCTTCTCCCTACGGATTCAGGGCGGCTTACAGCCTTTTAAAAACAAATACATAAATATAATAATACTAAAGTTAAAATGTTAATTTAAAATGAAATATTATTATAAGGCCTTTATTATTTTTTATAAAAATTATTATAAAACCATGTTAAAAATAACCCTTAGGCCCTTAGGGTCTAAGCTAACCAAATCATGAAGCTAACCAAATCATGTGACACCTCAATAGCCCTTGTGAACAACATTGTCAGTTTATATAATAAACTGAATGTAGAACAAACCTCAGTATTATATTTTCTAACAACTGGAATGGAAAAAAGCCCCTCTTCACCCCAGAAATTACTTCCCCCACCACTGCCACCAAATTTTTTTCTTGGAAAGTTGACAAATTTGGAGATGGAATTTGGGAAGTAAGAAGATTAAGCTTATCTGTCCTTGACCAATCTCAGCTGCACTGGCTTCCAAATGGTGACAAAACAACTGACCAGTCCCCAATTCCCAGCAAGCTATCCACTAGTTTGCATGGTACTGGCAGTAATTGCATCTGGATCTCCACAGATCACCAAGAATGTAAGCAGCAAGTTGCTTATATGCATTTTAATCAAAGCACTGACAGAAAGAAAAAGAAATAACTTACAACTCTGGCCACAAAAAGTGTTTTGAAGGCATCTCCTTGAGCATTGGGATCGTTATGTGGATCCCCTAAATGAAAAGATAATGAATCAAATTAGAGGAGAAATGAGAAAAATATACTTCTTCTACTTACCCTTTGTTCCACAAGTGCCAGGCCTCATCTTTAATTAAAGGGGCTACTATTAGCTTTAAGTTGATAATAAATAGTAGTTATTCTTTTTCACAGCTTTCTATTGTGCCTCACTTACACATCTTCAATTCACTTTCAACTTCCTGCTGTCGGCGTTCAATCTTCTCTCGCCTCTGCAATGAAAGGGACCAAGGAAACGTAAGGAATGCTTATCTTGTTTTTCAGTGTATCCTCATGAAAGACAATTGTATGAATCGTTCAAGGGTCACCTGTTCAATAGCCTTCTACTTAATTCTATTTTCAGACCCTGTATCAAAGCAAATATTGATGTACTTCACATTTAACTTTGTGCTATACATACCTTCCGTTCCATCCGTTCCTCCCGTGTCTCTGCACGAGTAGGTGGGGGAGCATCACGTGGATCCTAAAAGAGAAGCTCTTTTGTAATAACTCTGAATATTTAATTAAAAGACAAGATGTTGAGGAAGTAATTGCTACAGCAGCCATTCTGATTTCACAAGCATTTAGCCAATATTCAAATAAGTAGCAATAAGCCAAAGATAGTCAAGATTAACATTACTGGATTTACCTCAAACTCACGGATGTAGGGAGCAATACCACTGTATGGCTGATTATGATGTTTTTCATGGGGCAATTTTTCCAGAGGAGGCAAATAAGGTATAGGATCACGGGGCGCAAATAGTGCTAACAAATTTGGGGGCAGGAACTGCGTCATCTTGAAACACCTATCATGCAAGAAGAAAAAAATTCAGGAAATCTGAAAAAAGAATGACGTAACTAATCTATGGATCAACATGGAAGCCAAGCCCCTCCCCCAGATTTTTTATATATAAAAACATCTGCCTGCAACAAGGTAAAAACCGTCAACTTAGTTGACATATTTTGAGGGATATCTCCAGTTTGAACTTTGTTGTTACTATCACAGATGGTATCCTGAAAGTTCTGTTTTTCAAACTGGCAAAAACTGTTTTTCTTCAGTTCACCAGCATATATACTATATTATATACTATTCATATCTTTATGAAAGAGATCCCAGAAGGATGGTGCAAATCAGACTGTCCTCTACAGTGCAATCGGACAGCTTTTAAAAAGTGGGCTTCCCTCCTACAATCATAACTGGTAGAAGCCACTATACCACCTCAGTATTCAAGCTCTGGTTCCACGTCATGGGCTAACTCGTCTCTGCTGAACCCTCCTTTCTTGCTCGCGATCGACCAGCAGCGATAACCGGGGGGGGGGGAGAGGGGATGTCAAACCCACGACATCTCCTGCTGCAAGAGGGTAGCTTGAGCGGAAAGCTTTGGAACTCAGCAGCGCGTGCTTCCGATTGTTGCGGCTGCTGCGGCTGTTATCCCAGCAGCCCCTTGGACCTTTCTTGCTCTAACCTGCGCGCGCAAAGACGTCTCTCTCTCTCCCCCCCCCTCTTTAACCCACAACCTCGTCTCACCCCTTCTGCCTCTCTTCTGTAGCAGGCCTTCCCCCGCTCCCCAGACGTTGCGCAAAATCACTGCCCTCAGATCTCTCTCTATCGGCAACAACCGCCCCCGCCCCCCCGGCCTTATTATTCCCAAGCATTATCCATTCCGCATGAATGAGCCAGAAAACGGCCGCATCCCGGTTCTCACGAAACAATGCTCTGCACGCGCTTCCCGGACGTACTTTGGGTCTCACTAGCCGTCGTGACCCTCGATGATCTCCGTCCGCTGTTCGGCGCCACCCGCCGCCTCAGGCTTGGCCTACTAGGCGCACACTCTGCGCATGCTTGAACCGATGCCCCATCACCACTCTTGAATCCTTACGCGTCGGTTCTTGATTCGTTGCCGTCTCCTGATCAATCCGCGCAAGGTTTTCTTTTCTTTTTTTTTTTAATTGGGCGGTTGGGGAGAAAGTAGTTTTTCTCAGTACACTATATTGGTCTATAGAAGTATACGTGTACACTAGTCAGTGGTGATAAAGATTGATCCGAGCTGTCAGAATTGGGCACTGATTCAGTGATGGCAACGGGAAATCCCGTGTGACTTTCCCGAGGTTTGATTTGTTGCTTGCAACCAAATCAATAAAAACCCTTTTACTGATTATTATTGGGTTTTTTTTACAAAAAAGGTATGCTGTTCCAAGAGGAAAACTAAATTGCTAAATTACCTTATTAACAGTGCTAGCTAAAATGCTATAGAAGTATGAATCTGCGGTATTATTTCTGTAATAAGAAATAATAAAGGAATGGAAAGCCTCCTCTGACCCGATGTTTTGGATCCCGGATTCCCAGCCAGTTACGGGAGGTTGCTTTGGATTGTTCCACGTCAAGGTTTAGGTTTAAACTAAGGCTTGCCAGTTTTTGCAGTGTTGTATTTACGAACATGTATATCTACCGGTTGTTGGCTTATTCTTTGCTCCCTTGTGGAAGAGTCTGGAATAGCATTATTCCTGACTTCCGTAGTTTTGTGTGAATTAACAAGTGATTTAACTGAATTAAGTGGCTTATACAGGGAGAGCTCAATTACGGTTATTGTTAGTGGCAGCATCGGGTTACCTTTGTTCAAGGAAGAAACCAAATAAATTTTGCCTTGAATAACAGGATTTGAGGGAGCACTGAGAGGGGCAAATGTCTGCCATTTCCCCATCAGATTACTATAGTATGAGGAAGTAGTAGGGGCTAGTAGTTTGTGTCAAGACAGTATTATACAGTATAGCAAAATGTTTTTCAATCTCCCTCTTGCCTATGAAAGGTAGGGTGAGGAACATTAAAAGTTGGTACTTAACTGGTTAGGAAAAAAATATGCTGAGTGTAGAAGTATATTTTTGATAAGACCAAATTTGTTATTTTAGAATAATACTAGTAATACAGGTAGTCCTCAACTTACAACTGTTCATTTAGTCACCATTCGAAGTTACAATGGCACTGAAAAAGTGACATGATCAGTTTTAACACAACTGAGCAGCATCCTCATGGTCAAGTGATCAAAATTCAGGCACATGGTGACTGGTTTGCACTTATGAGAGTTACAATGTCCCAAGGTCACGCAATCACCATTTGTAATCACCTCAGTTGGCTTCTGACAAGGAAAGTCAATGGGGGAAGTCAGATTTGCTTAAAATACCATGATTTACTTAACAACTGCAGTGATTTGCTTAACTGATGAAAAAGGTTATAAAATGAGGCAAACTTCACAACAACTCCCTTGTTTAACAACAGAAATTTTGGGCTCAATTGTGGTGGTAAGTCAAGGACTACCTATATCAGGGATGTCAAACTCGCTGCGTCATGTGACATATCGCAACTTTTTTCCCCTTGCCAGAGCTTGGGTGGGTGCAGCTTCTGCATGATGCATCCGGCCCGTGGGCCAGCAGTTTGACACCCTGACCTATATGATATGCTTTCACATATCCTTTTTATAAGCGTGGGATAGTTATCATTGAAAATTTTTCCCAAATATTCAGAACTCTGTAAATGCTGTGTTCTATAAAGAAGCAGATATAAAAGAACAGTTTGTAAATACATCAATTATACATTCCATTTAGAGAACAAATATCAAAGGAGATATGGAAGAGAGTACATCAAGTGAAATAGACATTACCATGAAAACAACTACTGACAGAGTAATCTTGAAAAATGTCCATTCAGTTTGTATTATGACAATATCTCACTCAATTGATAGAACTGTATAGTGAGACATTTGGAGTTCTATTTATAAACCTATGTTATCACTTATTATTATTATTATCACAAAAATGAAAAAAGAAAGACTGTACAGAGCTTTTTTAGAATACCAATTAGAAAAATAACTTCATGGAGATTTTATATATATATATATATATGCCAAAACAAATAAATAAATAAAACGAACACCAGGGTAAAATCATCAAACTATAAGAGTTTAATGCCGCTATACCAATGCCGAGCTTTCATCAGCGTTCTGCTGACATCATCAGGGCTTAATCAGCCAGTCTATGGGAGAGTCTTTTATAGGTCAAACACAGTCTGCACACGGCTTTTGGACCTTGTTACCGGTCCTAGTTGCATCAGCTGTGCTCCGGCGGTGACTTTTCCTCCATTAGCTGTTCCTATCCTGCAAGGCTTATCCACACGGTTGCCTTCATCCGGTTCATTTGCTCGCGGGCTAGGAGTGACTGGGGCATTCCCCCTTTTTTCTTTCCTCAATCGTATCCCCTGCTCTCCTTGCCCCTGTAGTCCTACGTTCTTATTCCTTCCGTTAGTCAGATCTACCTGGTTCGGGATGCCCACTCTCTTTCCTGGACCCCCGCTGGCTTTAGTTGCCCCGCTGTCATTCCCACAAGCAGCTCCCTCTCCTCTTCCTGCGGTCGAATTTTTAGCTTTATAACTTAAAGCTAAAGATAACTCAAGATAATATAAGTCATAACTCAAGATAATATATTTAAAGTCAATCAGATAAAAATAAAGCACTCTGGGATGTAAGGTAAAAGGCTTTTTTTTATTAATTGCTGAGCTTTCGTTAACAACCTGTTAACATCATCAGAGCAAAGGGCTAAATGAGAAGGGGGGGGAGTAAGCGCATAAATTTACATAACAGTTCTATAACGGTTTTAGTGAGGCATGTGCACATAGCATGCTTAAGAAGCTCTTAAAGGGATAAAGCAGTCAGTCTCAAGACCATTTTCAAAAGTCGCGCTTGTCAGCTGATGATGTTAACAGGTTGTTAACGAAAGCTCAGCAATTAATAAAAAAAAGCCTTTTACCTTACATCCCAGAGTGCTTTATTTTTATCTGATTGACTTTAAATGTCCATACCTGGGATTCACCCTGTCGGCCCAAATATGGGAGAAAGGAATCTTTTGCCTGTATCAGCTCAAACTAGAGCCATCCACAGGCAGCAGTCGCAACTGCGACATCATATGTGTTTTTCAAAATTTGGATTGTTTACAAAGAATTAAGGGAGAACTGGAATAGCCATTTCGAACTTTTTAGTTCTTTTCAACCAGACATACCCTTCTGAGATTCGAACCTGGGCTGTCTGCATGTTAGGCAGATGTATTAACCTCTAGGCCACAGGCTCTTTCTCACTTTGTCGGCTATGAGACGGGAGAAGAATTATCTTGAGTTTGGTGCACCCTGTCTGCCCAAATATGGGAGAAAGGAATCTTTTGCCTGTATCAGCTCAAACTAGAGCCTAGAGGTTAATACATCTGCCTAACATGCAGACAGCCCAGGTTCGAATCTCAGAAGGGTATGTCTGGTTGAAAAGAACTAAAAAGTTCGAAATAGCTATTCCAGTTCTCCCTTAATTCTTTGTTAGCAATCCAAATTTTGAAAAACACATATGATGTCGCAGTTGCGACTGCTGCCTGTGGATGGCTCTAGTCTTGGCGTATTCGGGTCTTTTTCCATGTAAGATTGAGAGTATCTTGGCGACGTTTCGACGAGATCCCAGTCGTCATCTTCAGGCTGTGTGTGTGTGTGTGTGTGTGTATAACATCTGGAATGTTGGTCTAAGAGAGCCTTCCCTACCATTGCTCCACCCTTTGAAAAATTGTCCTCCAGAGGTGAGATGGGCCCCCACTCTCCTGGCCTTTCAGAAATATCTGAAGACTTGGCTCTGCTGACTTATTTGAGGCCCATAGAAGAGCATGCAGCTATGGGACTGGTTAGCACACTGAAGGCTTTCCCTTGTCTTTTTAATTTATTCTATTCTTAATTATCTCCAAATAAATGTACTGTATAGCTTTTATGTTTCTACTTGCATACGGCCCAGAGTCGCTCTGTGAGGGAGATGGACAGTTTCTAAATGTGATGTATAAACAAAACCATATATATATTAGGAAAGGTTTTTTTTTAAGTGAATTGCCTGGCAATAGGTGGCACTATTGGTCAGTTAGCAGGAAAAGATGGGGGGAACAATCACACTTGTAGCAGTAATTGCTTTTCAGAGTCTAATGAGGATATGAAAGATCTGCTTTCTTTGCAAATTATAAAAATAATATTGAGATGCTATTTATCTCTTAAAAATCCCTTATACAAGTTAAATACTGTCTTGGGTCATAAACCAGGCAAAAGATACTTCATAAATTGCCAAGTAAGAACACAATCCTCTGATAACTAAACATGCCACTTTAAACATGGAATGTTAAGAATTGAAAATGTGTGCAAATCACAGTTGTGAGCCCAATACACATTGAGATTTTATGTAATTAGGAGTCCCATTCAAGAGCATAATGGAAATGAGCATGAACTACAGCATAGGTTTCATAGTTGATATGACTTAACAAATCAAGATATTTCACAAGTTGCATAAAGAAGCAAAGTCAGCAGATAAGCTTTCCTTCTATTATAGCAGTTAGTTAGAAAGCATAGATAGGATCGAGAGAGTGTACAATGGTCCTCCTTTGAAACCAGGAAATAATGCAAATTAAACTTTACAGTTCCCTCAAAGGTAGGTCAGTGGTGGGATTCAAAAAATTTAACAACCGGTTCTCTGCCCTAATTATCGTTTTAAGTATAAAAAACCCGATATACAGAAAGGTAGTTTATTAGTTCATATATTTAATACTTAAATAAGAACAATAAAACAGGTACACAAAACTAGATTATGTTACCGTGTTTCCCATGCCTCCATGCTTTGGATCAGCTGCAGAGTGCCGTGGAGAGCATGGCTGATGTAGGCAGGGCAGGTGGACACACTGACTCCGCTGTTTTCAGTGGCGCTTCGGTGCCTGGTCGGCCGCCTCAGGTCAGCTGCATTGTGCTGTGGAGAGCATGGTGGACACGGAGCAAGTGTGAGGCAGGTAC